GTATTCATTAGACTTCATAGATTAACGAGTATTCATAATACTTCCCAGATTAACGAGTATTCATAATACTTCCCAGATTAATGAGTATGAATGAGACTTCTCAGATTTAATGAGCATTCATGATCGCATCCTGCAAAATGAGTCTTTAAACCATGTTTTCAGTGATTTTTGTTTTAGTTTGCATTTGAAAGAGTAAAAATTGGTGCTGGGTTTTCATGCATCACCTGGTAAAACCTTCTGATGGAATGGACACTATTTGGGTAAAAAATGTTGATTTAAATTGCAAAAGCTTCCTTCAAAGACCAAAACTTAAAAGTGGTGCTGGCAACTTTGTTAATTACATGCATTTGGTCAGGTTAGGTTAGGTTAGGTTAGGTTAGGTTGGGTTGGGTTGGGTTGGGTTGGGTGTGTGGGTTGGTTAGGTTGGGTTGGGTTGGGCAGCTGAGAAACTGTATATAGGTGAAATGTGCAGACTAAGTTTATCAGTTCCAAATTGATGTTTTCTTTCTAAAGTGATCTTACCTGAATTGTCCATGCTCTGACTTCATCCTTGCCACAAGTGAAGAAATACATGAGTTGCAATGCCTTGTAACCTGTCGTAATTATCTTATCTAGTGCGCTGAAAAACAGACAAAGGATTTGTCTCTGATGACAGAATCCTTGAAACATTTCAGTTGAGCAAAGAAAACTGACTTAACAGTGGTTGGAACACATCCCTGTATCTCTGCACTGAAGCTCTAAAGTAATTCAGCTCTATTGCCATGATGTCAAATCCACCCTATTCCCATGATGTCAATAGTTACTGGAGAGACATTTCTGCCACCAATAAAAGTAATGTGATCTAAAAAACTCCAACATTTCAGACTATCCTAAACGTGATAAAAGTATTTCTATCACACTGCCAGAGAACCAAGTCGAGATGCAGACAGACAGATGAAAAGACTAACCTTGTGACCTTATGTTCCTCTAGATAAGCCTTCCTCTCTGCTTCCTCCATGTCTAAGAGCTTAATCTCAAAGGCAGCACTGAATGGGATAATTGTTGCTCCTGAATCATGCTCATCAACCCATTCTTTGATCTTCATTAACCTGAAGGCACAGAAACAAAAATGAAATAAAAGGAGTGGCTACACCCCCAGTGGGGGTGGAGAAAACCGCTTGGGAGGGAGAGGAGATTTGAAGGGCAAACATGTTTGTAACAAGTGACTTGAACCTTTTATCATCCTTTGGGTAAAAAAATTCACAGTGAAGGTTTCTGAAATTCTTAAACCAAAGATTGATAACAAATATATGCAGTACATGCAATGCAGGACATTGGAATTAAGTTGTATCAAACAGGAAAATGTTTCAATGTTGAAACTGATTGTAGTTTGCAAGAGCTTTAATTTGATCTAGAACCACTGAGTGTACACGTGTGTAAAATTTTAATATGTGAAATTACTGAGAACACAGGAAACCTTTACATCTCATAATTTTCACCAATTTTGCTTTATCCTGAAAAATAGGCACAAAACTGTCAAACACTGTAATACAGTTGCTATATTATGCCCTGGATCTTGACAGATCATGTACATGAATCTTGTTTATACTAACATGTATTCAGTACATTCCGTGTCTACATCATAGACTCTTTACATCAGTTAATTACATCACTCATATGCTGCCTTATGCACAGACAATGGTACCCTGTGGTATACTTTGCAACAGATCTTTTACCTCATACCTCACGATTTGCATTAAAGTTTACAGTAATGAAGGTTACACAGTGACAGTGATGCTGAGTTAATTTTTTTGGAGAGCATCTTTTCTATAAGTTACTGTCAAGATAGAAACTTAATATTCCTAAAAATATTGTGAAATTGTTTTGCCATTCAATCTTGCTGACTCCACTCTTTCAGCCTATGTCAAGCATAACTTGGCAATCACTGTACATGGTTCTCCTTTGTATATGTTAACCAATTAATTGCTTAACAAGTGCTTTCAGTTATGAGGGGGCTGATGGATCACAGGCCAGGGCAGTTGGTGGCACTGGATTCAGTTAGAACACAATTCAGTTTAACATTTGCAACGCATGTTTATACTGTTTGTACATTATGGGTGAAAGTTTCACCCGTAATGTGTAATGCTCTGAAATAGCATTAAACTTGTCAATGGAATAACCTGTGCAACTATTTTTAATAGTTTTTGAACATATTTTACAAACTCAAACAGTAATTTAATTTGGAAAAATGTGGCTTTGGGAACACACAGCCACAACCAAATTGCATTAACCACTTCCTGCCGGGCGATCCATTTTCGGGTACATAGGCTTTATATGCAGAGCCGGTGAGCCCAAACTGGGACAAAAGAGTTGGGCCTTTTAACAAAAGATCCTGCTTAGCACAAAAGACCAAAGTGCTGGGCATTACCTACATTTTTCGCTCTCAATAGTGGAGATAATCCTGCCTTGTTTTGAAACAGTATTCCATGGTTTGAGGCATTTAGAGTGAGCTGATTACTACCGGGGACAAAAGCTCTCCACCACCGCAGATGAGCCACACAGCACCGCTGCATGCTAATCTGGCCCCTATTGATAAGAGGTCAGCGTGCACTGTGCTGGTTTCGGGAACAAAAGAATCTTACATAACACTGCACAATCTGGGCTCTTTTCCCATAGCAGCAAGGTATGAGACTGAGAGAACCCCCCTGCTTTGTGTTGGTCATTGTCTGGCAGGAATCTGGTGAATTCCTTTCAGACATCTTGGGGGGATGTGTTAAGCAACAATAGCCTGGAATGTGTATAGGGATTGGACATGTGGGGGGGGGTACCCCTCAGTCTCATGTCTTGCTGGGTATACTTTTTCCAAGGCTGCGGGCCTGGCTGAAATATTCAGGAGTCAATTAAGGTTACCTGTCAGCTTTAGAGTATTGGGTATAAATGACCATTAAATGAAATGACGAATTTTTAAAGAATTTTGAAAATGGAAAATCTTGAAAATGATTCGGCATCTTGTCTTGCTCAAGAAAAATCCACCCGGCAGCAAATCATTAAAGTAGTGGGTGTGGCAAAATATATCTGGTTATATAATTAGCTCATAAGTTTATTGCTGCACTACGGGAAACAGATGGCTCCTTGAACCATTCACATCACTCCACCACCAACTGTACTTGAGAGTGATGATATAACTGCCTAAGAACACAGAAGTAATTACTAAATGCCTTTAATCCCACTGAAACTGAAATACTGCATATCTCATGTCACAATTGGGGTTGTATTTCTAACCCAGCCATGGCGATTTCTTTGCAGTGTATTTCAAACAAATTTTGAAATGCTGGCCCCAAGGAATTTTGTTATGCCATTACTCTGACAACTCATAAATGCAGACTGCACATATATGAACAAATTTCAATGACAAGTGTTAAGGACAAAAACTTATGGTGAATAAATGATACTACATGTACATGTAACTTTATTTTCTCCACTTTGTAGCAAAGAAGAAAATAATGGATGGCAAATAAAAGGAAAATCTGAATGGTAGGGCTGACCCTTTACAACCCACCCTCTCAAGCCTGAACCTCATACTTTATAAATGTAGATTACCAAATCACACTGCTCTTATGCATGTTCTCTACTTCTTCGGCAACACTCACCACTTGTTCTTCTTTCGTATGTAGTCCCTCTCTGACAGATTCACTAAGTAGATCATAGGCTTTGCCGTAAATAGAAGATGCTTATTCAGAATCTCAATCTATGCAACAGACAAGATACAAACTATATTTTCAAAGTCACTGCAGTATCTGAATAATCAAATTATGAGGAATACAGATGTTTGGATCAAGAGGAAACAAGGTGATCCATAGTGATTAATTGGGTTGGGTTATCTCTAACTATGGTACAATGTAAATGAAAAGAGTAAGTGTATGTTGCATTCTCTGTGCAAAATGCCAAATATATGTCATGAGATTAAAACCCAACTAAAACATAACCAACTAGAACTATCGATAAAACATATATATTTTTCTGTCGGCATAATTTGGAGGAATACTTCATCAATTTGATTCAAGCAGAAAATGTAAAATTCAAACAAAATCTGTCATGGACGATGTTTTTAAGTGCTGTTTTACCTCAAAGGCTCAGAATAAAATTCTATAACCCCTTCAGAGAAGTGGATTTATGAATATTCTCCAACCAACTGAGCAAACTCTTCATAATTTATTTGGAGAATGAAAGTCTAAGCAACTGAATAAATACCTCTAAAGAATTCCACTCAATCTGTCGGACCGGCCTCTTGTCCTCTTTGACATGCTTCTGGACCTTGGCAAGGGCTTCCTATTGGAGGTCAAAAGTTAGGATCAAGGTTAACACAAGCATGATAAAGTCAGTTAATCTGTTGTCATATTGTCTTTACACTCATGACATGGTCATGACTGACATGATGATTTAACACCATGTCATGAGTGTAAAGACACTATCACAGCAAGTTAGCCATGTCTAGCCACTTTTAAACAACAAAGAGCAGTTGTTCATTGATTAAAAACAGGTTGAAGACATTTTCAAAGATTGGTAATACAGAATTGCACCTTATACATGTATATGTTCATAATCAATGCTGCTCATTTTAGAAATCAATATTCCCCCTGCATCCAGATTTAACTTAGCTTGAAAGTACTTACTAATCACTTACCCCTGGTTACTGGTGTAAACCTTCTTAATAGCTACAGATTACTATGCTACACGTTCCCTGATTTGCTAATGTTGTAAATGATGACTTGGGGTAAATGGTTAGGCTCAGTGATGGAAATAAGAAAATAAAATTGATTAGCAAACTTGCTAATCATATTATTATTTGATTAGCATTATGATGAAATTGACTAGGCTGGAGAAACAATTTTTTACACGATCAAAGGAAAAAAAAAAAAACGCCGTCAGCAAGTCCCTACTTGTGATTTTTGGGGTGCCATTTTAGCTCCTGAGACATGTGAGATGTTTTACATTTGACCTAGATCGGTTGGTGACTTAAACATTAGTAAAATATTTAACAAGAAAAGGGAAATGGGATACATGTACATGTACTACAAATGGCACTGATCAGAAGTCACTGTAACAGTTTAAGAGTCGGTGCTTTATTGAGCTCTGACGAAATGTTCTGCAGAAGTTCTAACGGCTTTGATTTTGGCCTTTTCTAAGCTGCATAACTCACAGTGAAGCACAATGTCTTCCGACTGTTTCTGCCATGGCGTATCTCTCTGCCATTTTCAACGGTACATTTGGACGGTGTTTCGGTATTTTTGTTGCGCATTGATCACCATGAAATGTCAGAAGTTAACACGTGTTTACGTATGTGCGAAGCTGGTATCGCACTTGGGGTGTATGTACCAAGGTGTAGTTCTAGCGCCACTTATGACGTATTGAATGTACATGTGTGCGCTCGTACCGCACTGTAACGAACTACACATGCTATATAACCCCACCAAAGTGAAGCAACCTCGTTCCCCCATGATCCGTGGGCCTCGTGCTGTGCGGAACTAGGGCAAGAAACTGGGAGTGAGTTTGTTTTGTCAAACATTTCCTTTTTGCTGTGAAGCTGCTAGCGCGGGGCTGGGGGCGGTTTCCAATTCGCGCATTCAGCTCGCCACGTGCACAGTGGCCGGCGGGGCGGGTTGTATGGGCCGTTCATTCATAATTTTACAAGAAATTTCCATTCGCAAAAACTGCACATCAGTTTCATGTTTGTCTCGCATTTTGCGCAAAATGTATCGCATTTTGCGAAGCGAATCCAGCTATTTCCATCACTGAGGCTCAACTTCCAAGACTTACAAATTCTGGCTTGAGCTTCTTGTCACCTCCCCTGACTGCTTTCTTCTCAAGCTCAGTGACTCTCTGGTCCAAGATGCTTTCATCTTTAAGGCGAAGCTCCTCAAAGATAATTGACAAATCCCTGACTGGATTCACATCTCCCTCCACATGAGTCACATCATCATCCTCAAATGCCCCTGATGACAGGACCAAAGCAATCATGACTTTGTCAGGAAATCCTGAACCCTAAACCCCCAGGTGTTTGTGGAAAGAAGCTTCAATCAAACAAAATCCAACAGTGAGCAACTAGACAATGGAATGAAGCCAGTGCAAAAGTGCTCTCCTTAGTGACAGCCAGGACGACAAAACCCTACAGGTTCTGCATCTTCAGTTAAAAAGTTTGTTGTGCATATGATACTCAGTAAAATACATGTAGACTTATGATTTCCACCCAAGTCTGACTCAAGGTCATGTGATTCACAAGTTCAAATTAAAGGTCAAATGGTCATCGAAAGTCAAATTGCTTGCACATAAAAAATGATGTCAAATTTGGATTCCTTTCACTTTTTCCTTTCCAAAGATATCAATATTAACAAATTTGGCTTCTTGATTAAGGAGATATAATGGTCATTTAAAAATGGCAGTCAAACCCATTTTGACCAAAATCAGCCCAAACTGGTGGTCTCTGGCTTGAAAACCATTGACATGACAAGGTTAAATTTTAAATTTCAGCTTTTCCAGCCAAAATTACTTCATAAACCAAAAATGAACCAGTTTGAAGGGGCTCAGCGCCAATCCATGGGGTGATTTGACACGGAATTGCCCATGTATGTATATTAACCCTCCTATGCTGAAGTCATTCTTTGGGTCACTTGGTAAACACCTCAAAGAAGCACAGCTGTGTCATGTTGTGCACTGCACCAACATGCAAGAGAGTGACCTTGGGCACTTGTGCATATTTGTGCTGTAAAACTAAAGGAGGGTTAATGAATTTCTAACATGAAGTGAAGCCAGACATCAGTTAAATGTGGCTGTTTTCTACCAATCTGAATCCACTGAAATCATATAATACAAGGTGGAAGAATGTGGCACATTAATGACGGTAAAAATTACCAAATCATTTCTGGATTAAAAACTCCAGCCAAATTTTGATCTTGCTTAATATCAACAAAATGTTGGCAAAATTGCAAGGAATTTGATATTTAGTTACATTGTGCACCAACAAGCCAACCTTCTGAATATAACCTGACAACTCAGTTTTTGGTGGTAACACCTGGTGGAATTCTTTTGAACTGGTCAAACAATGAATGGTTTCTCTTCAGAATGCTACTATCACAGATTCTCTGACACACATGAATACAAGCAAGCACAGGTCTGACAGAAACCATCTCTGAACTCACTCGAAAGATGAAATAAAGCATCACATGCGCTGATGTGAGACAAGAATGCATTGCCCAATCCTTTGCCTTCGTTGGCTCCTTCTACCAAGCCAGCAATGTCTGTCACATGAAGGAAGGCTGGTATTTTACTGCAGAATTAAAAAAGGCAAAGTTGAAATTAGCATCCAAAACTTGGAATGAAGCTAAAGACCTGAAATGTTGCCTTAATACAATCAAAAGTCCGTCTTGATTTGCTTTATCAAGTTTAATTTCCTACAGATAGCTACAATGTACTACTAATTCTACAACATGTTTCCATCTCCACGACAAAGGTCATAGATTACCATATTCTTAAATTCAGTCTAAAAGTACCATTGTTATTTTCAAGTTTATTTGCTTTCACTCTCTTTCTAAATTAATATTTCTTGAATCTTATTAAAAAACCAGACTCATGTTTTCAAATTAAAAAAAAGGTTAACCTTTATGTTCCTTTTACCAAAGCCTAAAAGAATCTAAGGTATGCAAAATATGAGTTTACTCTCCAAATCTTTCTGATAAAGCTTTCAACTCATAAAGTCAGTTTAGAACACCTGACTTACTTTCAAAGGTCAGGCCACCTATCACTGAAAGCATCACACATGTAAACTGGTTTTACCTTGCTGGCTTGAAGTACTCACACAGGAAGTCATATCTTTCATCTGGAACAGGTACCCTACGTGCCAGACATAAACATCAAAACACTTGGGTAAAAACCAAAACTATTAACAATTCTAAAACTGATTTTTTCCCTCTAAAAAATTGTCCCACATCGGTGGGCCATTTTTTTCTGTTATCTCTCCCCATTTCTTCCTCTTCAGTTTGTAATGCAAGCTTGATCCAAAGTTCACATTTTGGCAATACCATCACTAACAGTATTTCAAAGTAGCAGTAATTCACAGACAGAACACATTCTTAAGGCCAAACTTTTTGGGTCATAACCAGATAAAAGAAAAAATTTGTTCCTAGTAATGAAACAAGTCCAATAAATCCTGTATTGTTTATGAGCTGAAAAAACACTTAGGTATACTTATTTTCATTAGGATCTGCTCATCAGGCATGAGGTCAGGCAACATACGGCACATGGAAAAGAGTGAAAAAGAAGAAAATAAGTTATGGAAAACGACAGTATGTTTTGTTCTCACACCGAGTTCTTAATCTCTAAACTGACTTTCTGTTAAGCTGGGAACTACAATGTTACTTACCAATGGTGCAAAAAGGGAAATTTTCTGCAGCTGCCTGACTTTTGGTCAGAACATTGAAGAATGTTGACTTTCTGCAAAATTGACACAAGAAAGTGACTCAATTTCAATTATTAAATTACAGTGACCACCTTCAGGATATTGCTCTATTTGAGAGAAGTTCTACCAGCAAATATGAAGAATTTCATTGTAGAATTCATTAGATTCAAATATAAAAATTTCCCGAGGTGTAGAAATGGAAATAAAGTTACCAAACTAAAAAAAACCAAACGATAGATAAATCAGGATTTAACTTCCTACTTTCTTCATCAGTTCTTTATCTACACAACCACCTCCGATACAAAGTATCCCAAGGTCACCAGGAACCTGAAAAATTCAACAGGTGAATTTGTCCCCAAAAAACTACTAGCTAAATAATAATGCACAATACATGGGCAGTGCAATAAAGTGGGCCCCAAAAGTGGTTGGCTTAAACATACATGTACTAACATAATCAATTATTGGATTTGATCAGAGATACATGTATACATGCGCTAAGGTCAAGTGAGAACACATTCAAACAGTTTAAATATAATAAGTACTAAAACCACAGTAAACACACCATCAGCATCTTGTTTGGGGGACTTTTTATCTTTAAACTAATTTCCTTCTAACATTTTGTCCAACCTCATCTGCTTTTGGTTGGACTAATACCAAACATGGTCAGAAAATGTTGAAATTGGATGCTTACTATACTGTATGATGATGAAGTAGATGCTGCACTATGAATTTCTGAAGGATTTGGAATTTTCAGGTTCAGCAAAAAAAGTTTGGGATTAAGTTAAGGATGAAGGTCACATACCCAACATTAGGCAATCCCACAATTCCACACTTAAGTGATGTGCCTACTCGACCAATGAGAGGCAGTGGCTTAGCCTCAGCTGCCTTCTTCTTTGGAGGCATTATGTCACTGTCAAACAAAAGAAAATAATAACAAAATATTTCATATACAAAAATGGAGATCTTTCATATTAATTACCTTTAAAAAATGGGTGACTTAAATATTTTGAAACCCTCCGTGTCACAGTTGCAGCACAAAACTTGACACACTGCTGCACCTGTAGTCAGTAAAATTTGTAGTTTTCATGAGGCTTAATGGGTCTATGCAGTTTTTCTTAGATGTACTTTTTGAACAGCCGTATTCTCTTTTTAGACATCCATACCTCTTGTGGCAGAACTCCCCACACAAACACACCTTTTGTGACTGGGCAAGGCCCTCCTCTCACTCTTGGTCCTCTACGAAAGGAAAGTTTCTGACTAGAACAGGAAATTTCTCTGTTCTTCCTACTGTACACACACCTTACTGCCATCATTGGAATATTCAATTCCTATTTTATCCTACTGTGGGAACATTAGACAGTTTCAGGACTGTTTTGGGGATGAAATCTGAGGATTTTGAATCAGGGTGTGAGCTATTTTGAGTAAAAAATGGTACACATGGGATATGATAGATAGGTTCTGAGATTCTACATGTAAATGTACTCTCTCCAACCATATCCAAGGCGAAATGTTAAACAGTGTTAAAAGAGGCATTTTGTGGAGTCCTAGTTACTAGGACTAGGCCTACTAAACGTTTTAATTTGTGTACTTTCACAAATGATGCTCAACACGCCCATTTACCAATACCAGCTTACCCATACGGACCTCCATACAGATGCTGCTTGACACCCTATGCATCTATGAGACTGGTCTGTGTTTTGTACTTGATTATCTCAATATTTTGCCTGCCAAAATGACTTTTTAGATCATGTTATTGCTTTCAGATGGCAAATAGGTAACTGTAGGGAAACAAATTGTGACATTCACCAATGGAATTCTTTCCAGAGACACAACTAAGGCCTCAATCATGTCAATGTGGCTCACTTACATTATTCCCACTCAGGGCATGGGCATGCTTTTCCTCAATGAATGTAGGCTAGTACTACTGGCATGACTAGGCCTAATACTTGCTAAGGCCCTAGGCTAACCGAGGTTGGATGCTGTCTTCATTACACTTCGTTTACACAAAAAAGTCCTCCTGCTGTAGTACAATTTTTATATGCTTTTTGTCACATTTTGACCAAGCAAAGGCAGCTCACATGTTGTTCACATGTGCCTTGTATCCCGAATTCCAGAAATGCTGTGTTGAAATTACCAAAAACAACTGCGAACGACGTATTTTGCAGGAAATTTAGAGCAACTGCATGCGTTCCAACGTGATTCATGAACGAGCTACTTTTGTCTAGTAATACGCATTTACGGATGTGCAAAATGGCCTTCATTGCAACAAATCTCAGCCCACATTCTGTTGTCTAGAGCTACATGTAGGTCTAGGTCTTGATTCCATTGGAAATGCATGGAGACACGCGGACAACAAACCTAGTTGTAGCTCTGGAAGCCTGTTTTAGACACCGCCTTATCTGCGACTTCTCCACGCCCTCAGCTCATCTGCGTATACGTAAGGGGCAGTCGGTTGCTATGCATTCTGCGCATGTGCAAACGCGTACTACTACTAGACATGCTACAGCTAGATCATGTAGATGAATGTAGATAGTACACGATTGACAAAAAGCTTGGAGTTGCACTAAATTTCCTGCAAAATATGTTGTTCGCAGGTGTATTTCGTAATTCCAACACAGCCTAGCATTTACGGAATTTGGGATACATGGCATTTGCAAACACCATTTGAGCTGCCTCCGCCAGGTATAAATGTGAGAAAAAACTATTGAAAAAAAGTTTGCTATTGCTGTTAGTGATGCCACATGGGTGATTTTGCACAATGGTACAAAGGCATTGTGGGAAGAAAAAGGGGGCAGTATTAGCTCCTTTTCATTCCCAGAATGCCTTTCTACCATTGTGCAAGTCACACATGCGGTATCACATCAGCAACAATGCTTATGGAGTTAGGGCAGGAGGACTTTCGGCTTAGGCCTACCATGGAGGAAGGAGGCCTACCTTGGACGTTCGGCCCTAGACCATGCCAAGCCCAGCATGCCTGGAGGCCGGGGGGCATGGTTGTAACTTGAAAGTTAACGCATGAAGCTAAGCTTCCTCTATGGTTAAAGTAACGAATGCACTGCCAAGCCCTAGGCCTACAGTACCTGTTTATAGCACTATAAAATTTTACTCTCTCTATTGTATTATTTAAATCAATTAAACTTAAGTAGTGAACTAGGCTATACCTTTTCTGTGGAAAACCCAACAATCACCACTCAAAAGCTTAGTTTAGCCCTACACCGTAATTAGTACACAATTGCACACAAACATGCAAGAGTACGAGTCGTGAGGTTGTGCATACAGCTTGCAACACGCGTGTTGCAAATTAGCCCGATTACCGACCCACCCTGAAATTTCTGAGTACAGTATACGAAGTTCGTGACGGACGAATGTGAACCAGACTATTTCACTTTGGCACATTACGTGGTTTGGCAGCTTTTTGCAGCGCGCCCTCAATTACGAACACATTCATAACATTGGTGGTATGGGATATGGAGCGTTTGTCGTGTCAGAACTTCGAAGTTGTTAACATCCCCGAAGGATTGACCTCAAATTCATCTTCAAGACATGGTAGGATTAATTTTCAGAGTAGTCAAAGATGGGCCTTAATTTTATGCGTAGAATGTAGCGTGATATCATTTTTAGACAAGCAGTTTTTTATCTTATTTCGAGTTGACTCCATACACGGGCAGTGACGGGTTAGATATCATACACTCAGTCATTTTAGTGTAGGCCTACACCCAGAACTGTGGGGTTCGACATCCGCCCCGCTCCGACAAACCCCACAGAAAATAAGCGTTTTTTGCCATAGCCTCTACGTGACGTTTAACAGGGCACGAACTGGGCTTTTATTCTGGTTGTGTACCCATAGAAATGCTGCTCCATAAGTAGGCCTACATAATATCTTCGTAATTTTTACCATAAAACAGGCCAAAGCCATGCTGTTTTCAAAAAGGTGCAAATAATGTCCCGACTATTGTCCGAGATTTTCAGTTTCTGAAACTCAATCCCGTCCACCTAAACAAACCAGAAATAAACCTCAAACAAAAAGGACTCCTGTCCATTCAAGTGGATACAATTTTAGGGAAGATCAAGAATGGGTGTGAGCTGCAATATCATCCAAAATAATGCAAGGTTTTTGACTTCTAGTTACGTGTATAAATGGGATTGATGGCTTGCATCGGGGGGAAGAGCAAATATAAGAGCAGAGTGGCCTATGGGCAACATGGCACATGGGTAAAGGGGTAAGTGGGTGAAGTGGCGTGTGGGCAAAGTCAAGAATAAGTGCCGGATTTTGTTACATTTACTGTAGCGGGTTTGTGATTTCTGTTGTGTAGGCTTTGTTGCACAGTTGCATTTACCAGGCTGCCCACAGGTTACAGTTATTTTTAAGTTTGTAAATGTGATCATGGTTGTTTTAAGAATAAGATTGATGCTTTTCTTAAAAGCCCCAGAATCAAGCTCATACGGTGTAGTCCTTTTTAAACCAGCCCAGCTCCTCCTGTTGTTGCATTATCAAGTGCCTACACTCACCTGTTGTGTATTTCTTGTTTTTTTCTCCTGTCAAATGCCCCAGACAATCCAATTTGGACTGCAGTAAAACAACGAGCTGCTCTCTGCCCCCATGAGGTGTACAATGAGAAATGCTGGTTTGAGCAACAAGAGGCTTTTCCAGAGAATGTTGTTCAACCACAGCTTGATCAATCCCTCTTACTTCAATATCAAGAGATGATATGGCACAATCATCCTCATGAAACTGTTCCCCAGTTTGGTTGGTGATATTATCAAGAGATTAAATGAGCATTTTTTTGGTCATCTTCCATTAGCAGCATCCTTGATTGTACTTGTACTAATAAAAAGTAGTCACAATTTTGAAAGCCAGTTTTGTTCTAATGTGTATGTACCACCTTGTTCTTCACCATAAATCAATGGTCTTTTTGTTTAAAGACTTCATCAAAAGAATAATTGGTTTTTTTTAAATAAGAGGTCTGTATCAGATAGAAGTATTCAACTTTTACTTGACATGTCATCCACACACTTTGTGTTTCAACATACCTTACTTAAACCTAATATAAATCAAATTTGAAATTGCAAGTTATATTGCCGCTATCAAAGGAACAATTTTTTTTTCATCAGGCATGACTGTTGCTGAAATGAGCCACCTTTGTAACAGTGCTGAGCTGCTGTCACCACATATGATTTGGATGATGGAACAACTCAACCGTAGCCAGAGGGATGCAGTCTGTCTCTACCTCCAAGGTTCCCCAGCTGCCTCACTCATACCCCATCTCCAGCGGAGAGGGTTGCCACTTCAATCAATCAAGCGGCTTGTAGTTATTGCCAGTGTGGTCAAAGACTCCAATAATGCTGTCTGTCTTTCTGATGAGTCTGGTAGCCATTGGGTGTTGGTAGTAGTTGACCTCACTGCAAAGGAAATCTTCTACTGTGATTCGCTGGCTTGGGATATCCCTCCAAATCTTCTTCAGAGGTTGCAGGAGTATTGCAATTATTTTAACTGTGAGCTGACAGCAGCCTCGGTGGTTTTATGCCATGAAGTAGCACTCTTAGGAAATAATCAACATGTTTGTTCTGATGACTGTATAAGCTATTGTCTTCAGCCTCAAAACAGTAATGCATCAGGTATCATCACTCTGATCAATGCTGCTGTGAGTGCTTGCAATTGGGAGATGTTCTTCCTCTTGATCAGCGGAGCACAAACTGCATGTTATTTAAACCAACCAATAGACTATGAAGTGTATCTGAGGAAAGTGCTTATCTGCTGGTTCATGTCTGGCACCGTAGATATGCAGAACATACAGTTGAAGACAAAAACAGGATCTGGTTATCAGTCTCCATCAGATAGGATTTCACAGCAGGTTAGATTAGAAAATGCACAGAACTCTGATTTTTGTTTATGTTTTATAAGATGCACTAACTGTCCACACTGCCTTTCAGTAAGAGCCAAGCAAGTAATTCACAAATTTCCTCACTTCTATTAAAAAGCAAGTTGATAAGAGGCTTTGTGACTGATAGTGTATTGATTGAGATTACTAGTAGGTCTATTTGGTTCAATGAAAGCTATACTAGATACCAGGCCTTATGTCTGGTCCAGGCAATATGACCAGCTTCAGACCAACCACTGGAGTGCTTTACAAAGTCCACTGACCAACCACTGGAGTGCTTTACAAAGTCCACTGACCAACCACTGGAGTGCTTTGCAAAGTCCACTGACCAGTCAGCTAACTATCAAACCAAAGTTTTCAGAGTTGGTCATTTTTTGGTTAGGCAGCTGATCATTAACTGACAAGCTGGCTACTGTCAGACTGTTTCCTAACCTACTGTCGAGTTGATTGGGAGACTGATTGCCTAAGTGTTTGATTGCTCTTTAGCTGAGCTTGCTGGCTCACTGATGCTGTGGCAATTGTGGCTGGTTAGCTGGTTGATTGGTTGACTAGTTGGTTGGCTGAAGTGACCTGCTTGTAAGTAAAATAACTGCCTGTTTTATGGATGGCTATCTTGTATCCTTCAAACACAGCTCGCTTGTTGCTAGTGGATGAACTGCTGTGTACACCATTGTAATGGTTGCCATCTACCTACATGTAACCTATGATGTAACGAAGTGGGAATGTTAACTTGAAAGATTTCTCTCAAATTCTAAACAGCCCAGCACAGACTCCGGGATCAGCAGGGGTAAGGATGAGGCTGGAGGACACGCTGATGAAGAATCACCCCATCATAGTACTAATGGAATAGATGTAGAGAAATGTATGGCAAGTTCAAAAACTCCTGCAAAGGTAACTTCATTTTGTTATCAGGATGACAAGTATGGCCAACTGTCACATGAAACAATTGTCTGTACCTTTCCACTTGCAGTCAAATGTCACATCCCAAAATAGTACATTTATACCGTGTCTGTATACACATAGCACTTTAAGTCAAAGTAATCACAGTGATTTGCTCAGCACTTGACAAGATACTGACATGCTGCTCATAGCTTACCAATGGAAATGCATCAACCAACTTTGTTTTTCGTGGTCTCATGCTGAATACTTCATTGAACTATTCAAATATTATTCCGACCAACCACTCGGCACAGCAGGTTACCGTTTGCATGAACATAATCATCTATGCATGCAGATGGAGAGTGCCAGTTTACCCTGGTAGCTAGGAACAGTCGTGTGTTTTCTAAATTTGTGGGATCCATGCTGGTTGGCAAATCACAGCCCTCTGTTGATTGAAGAGGTTTACATGTATTCAAAGCATGCATATCATGTGTATACCAGTGTGATACCACCATACATGGAATATCTTCTAAGGCTGTCCCCCATCCCATCAGCTGTGTCCATCATCTTCTTGGTTGAAATGAGACAGTGTCATTTCTGTCATGACTTTCAATTTCCTACTGAATGGATGGCAGAAAAAAAAGACGTGTAAGCCTTGAAAATGAGTTCAAGGAGATTATGGAGCCCAGTGGTAAATTTCATTGTGTACTGGTCTTTTCTCAAGCAGCATGAGTGCCTCACATAGGCTTCAATTCAAAGATCGCAGTGATTACCTTGACTAAAGACTAGTTCACACACTACAGCCACTTTGATAATACTATTTTTTTTCAGGCAAAGACCCAGAAGGTTAAGCTGGAGTGCAATATTTGCAACAAGATGTTAGGTTCAAGAGCAGCTCTTTTCAAACACAAGAGATGTAAGCATCCGGGGCATGAGTACAGACAAGCCCCTGAGAAGAGTCACCTACACTGCATAGACTGTGGTCTCAGGTTTGTTCAGGCTACACTTTGTTTCACAAACATCTGTAGGTCAAATAAACTTCTGAACTTTCCTTCAGTGGAATTTCGAGCACATTCTACATGCAATGTAAGTGACCAACTTGTCGGTATGTGAACTTGTACTATTTCGACATGCATATTGTTGGGCTTTAATGAAGCACAAGGTAGTTGGGCCATATTGTTTCTGGTCCTTTTGTGGAATTTTGTTGAAAAATGTAGTGTCCCTCTTTGAAATTCCTTTTTTCAGGTGTTTTTATGCAACTAAACTCATTGAACATTATCAGAGCCAGCACGGAAGGCAATTTTCCATTGAGAAAAAAAAGTTTGCCACTGAAGCAGAATTTCAGTCTTGGAAGAAATGGGTTGAGAAGAAGTCCATGGCCTTGTTTGTTCAGCAGAGTGGGAAACGCTTTACACCCACAACATTGGTCAGAAACTTCCGCTGTAATAGGTCAGGATTTTACATCTCCAAAGGCCGGGGTGTGCGGAGTTTGAAGTCTCAAGGCTCTGCAAGAATAAATGCCACCTGCCCGGCATTTATCAAATCCACTATGGACCGTACCTTGCAAAGTGTGGAAGCAGAATTCTGTTTGGATCACACCCACGAATGTGAGGTTAAACACTTGCATTTGTCGTCGGATACCCGGAAGATGATTGCTGAGAAACTTGTGCGTGGAGTCAGCATTGATGCCATTATTGAAGAGATTCGCCTGAGCTGCACCTCCACAGACAGGGAGCATCACATTACAAGAAGAGATGTTATGAATGTCAAATTGACTCTAAATGTTGAAGTTGACTCAAAACTAGAGTCTGCATATTTCACAAAAATCAATTTGGCTAGAAAGGAAGCATTGAAATCAGTTGAGGAAGTTACAAGTCTGATTAAAACATCGTCATCAATGGACATCCTGAGAAACATCCTAAGACACTTGCATTATGCAGCAGGAGCTAGCAGGGGTGTGGAGGCCATGAATAACGATCATGATTATCAAGGCTGTTCCTGGAATCAGAGCTGTTAAAAAGCTTCAAAGGGTACTTTATCAGAGCCATTCTACTAGTGTGCTTTTGAGAAAATGAGGTTTGGATGCTGCTTCGACCATGAAGAAGTTAAAACTTTAAGGAAAATATTCAAATGGAAAACTGACACCAGAAATAAGATGGCAATTGAAGGTCAACTCCACAGTCCACACATTTTTCAGTGGATTTTTTATTCAGGTCAACTGACCAGTAACAAGGATGACTGGAATAAAGAAAGTTGAAAAGAAGTACAAACAACCTGGTAAAGGAAATTTAAGCAAAATAAACTTTGTACTCCCAAATAAGAAGAAATGTTTTTCATTTATTGGGGAAGTGGTTCTTCATTAGCAGAATTTGTAATTTGCCATCGAATAAAGTAGAAAAATGTTTCAAAGAAAATAAATGTATTTGGAACTTGGAACTATCGCGTTGCTGAAAAAAAAAAGAATGTAAACATGCAAAGAAAAGATGGTGCCTTTTAATTATTAAACCACTTTGCCTTTGTGGCATTCTGTGCAAAACATCAATGAATTAGACACTTGCTGGATGAAGCCTATCTCTAGAAAATGTCAACCGTCTCCACAATTTATAGAAAAATTGTTGCAAAACTATGGAAATCCACATGCACTGTAATAGTTCAAATCTAATAGACTTTGAAGACATGCTTGTGTTTAAAAGTCAAGGTTCACTGGTTTTCAGCAAACAGCGAATCTTTCTCACTTTATAAGGGTTGTAGCTTTACAAGTGATAAGGCTTAGTTATTTTGAGTATTCTGCCTGCAAGTCAACCATCATGACCACAAGTCCATTACAAGCTATGCAGCTGCAAGGCAAGCGGTTCAACTGCTCTGACATCATAAGTTGTTCAACCTGTTATTGTGACTTGCATAAAAAAAATTGTGATATACTTAACTACAACATTACTTCAAGGGGGTTCAGGTTTGATATGGACTCTACAATAGATATGAGAATATGACAAACTTGGTTATAAAATAAACATCAAAAAATGTATGAATAATCTTGAATGAGTTTCAATAATTACACCTTTTTAAATTGTGACTGTGACATTACCTTTATCGCAACCCCCCTCTAGAATGGCAGTTTAATATACAAAGAGCACTTTCCAGCTACAGGAAATCACAATTTTTAATGGAAAAATAAGCAGCAAATATAAAGCATCAAAAAACTTGGAAAGCAAAGATGAAAGAATATCAGTTGAAGAAGAGTAAAAAGACGTGTATAAGTGCCACGGAACGGCAAAAGTACAAGAAATCGGATCAACAGACAGAAGAGAAAAAGTAGAGAATTCAGACATAGTCCTGATAATTACTGGTATATTACCATCCTTGATATTTGTACCAAGCCTCATACTGGTAATTGCATTCACTTCTCAAAAATATTCCAATAAGATTTAATTTGAAAACTGGCTTTTGCCCTTAACTGACTTCATGTAAAGCATGTCCAGTGCTCTCCAAGATCGGTAAGGTGAAACTTGACCCATGACCTCCTGTACACATAGTACCACACTGGACCAATGAACTTGCTAAAGTCAGTTGACTGATTCCAGTCCTTTGCATACCTGGGTATCACAACTCATGACTGAACATTCAGAGTTTATTACAACATCATTGAAGATTAAACCCAGCACTTACTACCCCAACAGAAATCATACCGGTTACACCTGACGTACATGTAGATGAAAGGTCAATACTACATACATGTATCGTAATAAAATTTCTAGAGTTGAACAGGATTAAACGTCAATTTAATGTGCTGCATAACAGGAGTTGTGAACTAATGAAATCTTTGATTCTTTTAGTATGGTTTACAAGTATTACACTTGCCTAATAATTTTTTTTTTCATGATTTGGCAATAAGTATTTTCAATTTGAATCCTGAAAAATTAAACCAAATGTAACAAGTGGTTCTAATCTCTAAATTAACCCGAACCGGACTCCAACTTTTTAAAAGCAATACAACTAAAGTACGATAAAATATATCTTTCTTCAGTCACACTAAGAAGTTTCACTTGAAATATAATTTTCTATGTTATATGAGTTTTATAAATGAAGATTTTCAATCTGTTTAGCTACATACATAGACATTTGAATGAATCTCTTTGACATCTTGGTTGACTTAAACATGATAACTGACATCAATTGATTTTAACAACAGATTCCTGCCAGCAAAGATGTCAATGTGGCGACATCAACTAACACCATTAACTTACATGTAACATTTCAAAAACTAACCTCAGTATTTCTCCACATGTTACATCAAAATGAAACTGACTTTGCTCATCCTTTCCAGCATCAAAAACCAAAAGCAGTTACTTTGGAAGTTGTTGTTAAATGCATGCATGGGGAGAAGGGAAGGAGTGCAAATACATGTAAACCACATTTTTTGTAAAACAAATCACAAAAACATTACAATATCTTGGAATGGGAAGTGCTATGCCTTGTGTCCCTTACCCCTTCATATGTACTTTATTTAGCTAGAAGTGAAGAATTTCCCTTTCAAGGATCCCATTTACCATTCTGACCAATGAGCAACAGCAACGTGCAAGTTTTACTGTATGTGTGGTTCTCTGGGTGTTTGCCAAAAATGGCTGTGTTTTATTCTGAAAATTGCTTATAAATTTTAAAAACAAAATAAACCACCTAGAGCTGTTGATTAATGCTATATGTACATTTAGGTCTGCCCTACATTCTGTGACCATTCAAATTTACTTGTGAGTCAGTGGCATACATAGACATAAAAAAGAACAGAGACACAAGTTAAAATGGAATAGCCTTGTGCTGGATTTGTTCATCATCATATCTGCCTTTTGAAAGTAGAACTTTCTGGCTCTTTCTCTTGTGTGAAGGGAGAGGTCCCTGATGCTACTTATTCACAGTTTTAGCAGTGCTGAGTTAAATATGACTAAACTTAATGGCCACAACCAGCCATTTTTAGATGAACTCAAGAAAAAAGGTTTGCTAAGTAAGTTCACAAGCCAGAAAAGCTTGTACATGTATGTGTACAAACTCACAAACACCTAGAAGTCCATGTTTGACTCTTAAATGCTCAGTATCTGACAAAACTTTACTTTCGTGATACTAGCCACTTGTGAGCTCAATCAATTATATCATTTGCAAAGCAGCAAATCAGTTGATGCCACTGACACCACCTGTACATTCATACTGGTCCACATACACTTTTTTGATGCTGTGTGCTGCATGATTAGGAATCGCTTTTTATCCATGCATGCATTTACTTATCACTGATAGTTGTCTTAGAGTACATTGAAGATGGGCACTTTTTTGACATCATACCCTTGCTCTCATTCCACAGATTGTATTTATAAGCCAATTTGAAAATCTCAACAATTTACAGATGGTCACTTACAGCCCTTCCCATCCGTAGCTCCCCCCTCTTTACCTGTCCCTACCTGGTCCCTTTCTTTCCTGACCTCTTTTCAACCAAACGGATGATGCAGTAAATTGAGGCACAGTCTATTTCCTAGGCTGTTGTACACGTACAGGATGGTGTGTATTTGGGCTCTTCTGGTGGGAAGGCATGGGCTTTTCATGGAATACACGGATGGCGTCAGGTGGAAAATCCTTGTTGCCTCTAGAGGGTACTCCAGAGATCATCACTTGCACGTCTGGCTTGGGAGGGCTGGGGTTATGAAAATCCAAACACTAAGTCAAAATGCAGTTGATAAAGCAAATGTGCTGCTTAACCACTTGTGGATGGTACATGTATTATTTTCCAGTTTCCAGTTTCAAATTTTCAGTTTCAAAGAGGCAAGATATACATACATTACGTGTAGCAGCTACACATGTAACTTTTGGATTAAACAGCCACATGCCACAAATGCTTTGCAAGAGTCATTTGCACAGTACATGTATTTTACAAGATTTCTTACCAGAACCTGATATTTTCCAACCCTCCAGGGAGTGCCCACAGACATGTAGGCATGTATGTATTTGCTACCACTAAAGGCTATGCATAAAGTAAATACTTTGCATGTATACAAACCCAATGTGAAATTAGCATGTTTATGTGTACATGTAAGAGCATCTTGAGGTTTTAACTCATCAGCTGTGCCTGTGTGTACATAAATAGGCAAATCATGTTAATGGCCACATCCTCTACTGCCAAGTGGTTACAACAGCTTTCCAGACTTTCCAAGGAAATACAAAGCAAATACATGTGTGTACATTGTAGATTTTTTTCCATCCCCCAACAAAGATGTTCAGATGTAGTTCTTGTAGGCAAGATCACCCTGAATAAAAGCACCAAATGAATGCATGGCGGCTCCATCATACTCGGTGCTTTGGACTTGGTGTACAGACACACTGATAAAGTGTCTTCAATATCCCAAATGACCTTTGAACATTTCATTTTTGGCACGCTCCATTGGAATGTTATCTCAGGCTGCATCCGAATCTCTTGTCTAGAGCTACATGTAGGTCTATGTCTTCACTCCATTGGAATTGCATGGAGACGCGCAGACAATACACCTAGCCATACATGTAGCTCTGGAAGCCCATTTCGAACACGGCCTCAGTTTTCACAAATAGTTGTCAAACTGTGTATGACTGTAACAGTATGAGCCATCACAACACTGCATTACCCATAAACACTACTTAAAGCTAAAGTACATGTACATGTGTAAATGGGCAGTTCTTTTTCTTCTTATGACTTTTTCCTCTAATTGGTGAGAAATGTGCTGTTGGATGAACAGATATAAATAAATAAAATCAATAAAAACTCATACAATGCAGCATTATCTGTTCCATTGGAAGTGATGTACACGTATGTATTCACATAAATGGTATGTGTGAATGAATGTACTGTATTTTGACAGATTCCGAAAAGATTTTCATCAGAACTAGATTCGTACCTTAAGAGTACCGGTAACTCTGTGTGTACATGTACATACAAATGTACATTGTAGGTATCACCAAAAGCTGAACAAAGAATTGGACTATCGGTAGTTTCCCCATTCATTGGTAACATTCCTAGGAATGCTACATGTACATGTATGAGATTGTTGGCAAGGTCCATGAGGAAGAGACGTACCTGGTTGCAGGGCCATATTCCTCTTCCTCCTCTGGTGTCATTTCTTGTGGTTTCTCATGAGGATGTCTACCACTCTGTTTGATGCGCATACCACCAGCCTTGACTAGATTGCGGAAAAAATAAATTAGATTCAAATCAACAACTACATGTACATGTACCAGTACTGCGTATCAATCGATATGCAGGAATGTGTCTCATTTGAATTTAAGGGCAGCCAACAAAAACCTCAGCCTTCCATCAAATACATTCATTCGTGTCTTGGGTACAATCTGTGGATGTCCCCATTCAAGGAATTTTTCTTCAGAACCATTCTACAGACTGTAAAATGTACATGTACCAGTGTACTGCATATGTATGATGCATGTGCCAAAAAGCTTCTGCTTTTTGCAAAGCTCAACCTACAACAAACTCAGCCCTGGCATCACAGTAAACGCACTATCTGGTTAAAGGGGCAAAAAAGAACATGTTGCTAGACATGAGCGCATATTGGAATGGATGCACGATGACTTGGAAGTTTACACAAAAGCCTTCAAATGCTGTTTGCTTAGTAATGTACCTGTGTTCTTTATGACACATCCAGATGGCACATACATTGTACATGCATGTGTAATTCCATAAAACTGTTTGATGTTCTATAGCACAAATCTTGTCAGCTGCACCCAACATACATGTACTGTACGTGTACATGCTGATTTCTGCTTAGGGCTTTAAACAAGATAAAAAGGATGGTTTCTGAGGCAGCCCCCCATTCATGTATCCCACCTCATAGCCAGGTACATGTACAGAGTCATCATCGTCACAGGCTGCATACCCACAGAATGTTGTTCTTTGTGCGCTCTGACTTTGTAGACTGCGTACGGCACACGTACATGAGCTACATGTAGCGAAAAGGAACTGTTTGGACGAAGAACTTCTTCCTCAAAGATCCCAATTTGTAGTGCATTTCTTCATTCTCAAAAGCGCCAAACCTGTATGCTGCTGCATAGCATAGCCCCACTGCCCTGTTACCATCTACAGAATATACTCAAGAAACGGCAGGTAAGCCTACCAGGCAATGTTATAGCATGCCATACCACTATTTTAGTACAGGACAATATATCGGTAGTAATGGTGAGTGCAGGGAGTGAAGTGACCGGAGTCTTGTGAGTCACGGCCAGGGGTTCGGGCCCGCTTGAGGGGACTCTAGATCGCTTTCTCAGAGAGTTTCCTCTTCAAAATTAATTACGAGTTCAAATTTTCACAAATTCTTCCGGTAAAAATATGAACTTTTCATAGTGTCTAATGTTTTTACTGGGATTTTTGTGCTAGTCAGTGGACTGTTTCATTAAGCTTTGCGCCGGACGGTAGAACTGTGGTGGAGATTCCCGACCAGCGCAGACCAGTGTACATGTACAAATAGCTTCATGTATAACACTGCTACCAGGTATCCTAAAACTACTCCCCCCATCTCATCTCATCCCAGCTGTTTTTTAACGCAAAGCATTTGTCTGTGTCATGTGTAACTGTCAGTCTGAATGAACAGTTCTGAAGGTGAATTCTGAGGATTTTGATTCAAGGTATGACACAGTACAGTGTATAAGCTATTTTTAGAACTATTTAATAAATGGAAAGAAAAACCTATGAAGAGTACTTGGACTTTGATAGGTTTAAAAAAGCAATTCATGGCGATTTGTAGAGTCCAAGTTTACTTGGACATTTTATTAACCGAGACAACTCATACCCAAGTCAACTCGTACCAGAGTTTGGGTGCTGAATTTCTTTCATCGAATGGTATTTGAAAGAATATCAATGTAGCGGACGTTGCGTTTGNAAATTTGCCTCTTCGTGGAAACAGTGACAATTTGACATGCTATTTTTATTTAGTAAAGGCCTACTATAATTCTGATGTAATGTTGCCACAAGCTACGAGGAATGTAGTTTTCTCTTGCGTTACGAGTTGTCTCCGATACGAGTTGTCCCGGGTACGCATTGTCTGGATCTGGATGTGTTTATTTTTACTCCAATAAAGCAGATAGACTGCATCATTAGACAATCACATTGTCCCGGGTACAAGATGTCCAACATTCCAACATACATGTACCATGCCAACCCACTCCCTTCAACAAATCCCCAAACAAAAACAGTGAAACTAAACAATCATTCAAGATTCATATATATATTTATTGTGGGGATTGTGAATTTGGGGACCCCAGGTTTTGGTCATTTTAATCTGTGCAAAACTGGTAATTTCCCCCCCCCCAAAAGGCAACACTGTCTGAACTGCCTCGAACCTGTTTTTTTTTTAATTTCAAATTGTGAGACATTGTGAGACAATGTGACTTTCCTACTGATAAACCAGCCATGCCAATTTGACTCCACCATGTGTCGTGTGTTAAAACACCCCCAGTTTCCGGTCATAATTTTCCTCAAAACTCATAACCTTGCCCTCTTTCAACAACATAAACCATACAGTAACTGAGCATGATGTCACATCTACCTACATGTACCAATGTGCCTAGGCATGCTGCTAGGGAATTGAAAACTTAAAAAGTTAAAATCAAAGATCGTAAAGCACTGCATAGCGGCGCAAGATGAAGAACTTTGCCGTGAAGTCATGTAAAACGTTGTAATTCCATAAATACATAGGTGCCATTTCAGCAAGCGATACACCTGCGCAATGCACATTAATGCACAAGCAGGCACAAGCACTGTGGCAGGCACGTACACCTGGTGCGTCTGCACCTGTGCATTACCGTGTACTGCGCAGGCATATCACTTGCACAAATGAGGCCCGTTGTGATCACACCTTTTGGGTAGAGTTACATATCTTGCGCCTTCCGCGCTAGGCCTATACTAACCCCCCTAGTGTGGCACGGACTCTCATTCCCACTCCTGCTTTTGCCACACATCCGTATACGCAATTTCGTGTCGACGTACTGAAAATTTTCGGCTCACCCACTTATCATCACCCACTTTCTTTTGCACACAGAGATGATCCTTAGCCTCATATCTAATACAAGGACTGAGCAATAAGATACTACATGTACATGTACCAATGGGCTCTTCCAAAAATTTGGCAGCAGTTTAGATGTCTTGACATGGAACAGCCGTCGAGACGATGAGTGGTCAAGTGACATAATGTTCAACGACCTTATTTTAGAGATGGCGACTGTGAGAGCGAGCCCGTGAGATTGAATGGGTGAAGGCAAAAAGACTGGAAAATACCAGAACTACGTCAGTAAAATCATTCAATAAATGGCGCTAAGAAAGCGGAGAGGCTGTAAGGATCATCTCTGTGTGCAAAAGAAATTGCGCCCACGATGATAAGTGGGTGCGACGAAAATTTTCAGTACGCCGACACGAAATTGCGCGTATGGATGTGTGGCTAAGGATGGAGCAGGAGTGAGAGTCCTTGCCACACTAGTGGGGCTAGGCCTATGGGGCAGCGCAGACATCCGAAATTCTCGCAAAATGACAGGTACTGCGCCGGTGAAAACAGCGATCTTGGTGACATACGCATGCACCAGCCAGTCTGAGGATCGGGTTATACAATCTTTTCTTTGATCTGCACGTACACGTGCACTCGTTGCAGTTGTTTTCACCGGCGCGGTGTGGTTGCTACCAGTGTTTTTTGTGAAACTCCCAGATGTCCGCGCTGCCCCAGCCATAGCATAGGCCTGTAATCTTTGGTTAAAATGTAGGTCTCCATTAACATGGTCCTCTACTTCATAGTCCCCTTAACTGCAATGATTGTGAAAATCTGGGAAGTCTGTAACATTTTTTACTCATTAGTAACAATCTGAAAACCAGAATTGAGAAACGATCAGACCATGGGCATAGCCATATATATTTCTACTATACTAGCTCCATGTGATAATAAAACCTGGCCGAACTTGGAATTTTTGACTCTAGGAATCGACTCTGAACTTTCAATATTCATGTTATTTGGACAAGTTGAGCTCACCTGCGGGTGGATGCCCTGCCTTCAATTCTTTGTCATCAACGTCACCCATAATATTCACTGCTAAAACGTCTGAAAAGTTCAGATTGAGTAAACTTCACAGTCACTCCACTTTTTCAAAAATTAAAAAGACGAGAACGTAGTCTTTAGCAAAAGAACACCACGTAAGCACGCTGCACGTCCGGGTAAATAAACACAGCTGTCGACGAAAACTGTTCCTTGACCTTCGAATTCACTCCCAACAAATTTGAGGTTCGAATACATGAGTCGTTCCATACATTTATTCACTAAAATGTTCTCAAATATCCACAAGTGTCACTCAGTAATTGTACATAATTTACTAATTTTTTTCAGGCCGACTCTTATTGTTTCGTTTCTTTTATTTGTTAACCCCCAGGATGTGAGCTAACGATAGTGGGAGCACCCCTCTTATAGCTGACCGTGTGAATGACCTTTCACACGGAATGAGCTAGCTTGGGGGCGCATGCCAAAATGCAAATGAAGTTCCGTACGTGATTTTTTTCGTATCACATCCGGTTCGTAAGTGTGACGTCACTTCATTTTAAACCTGTTTGTTGTGTTTGTTTCTTCATTTTTCACATCTCTTGTCTACGGTCTTATTTGGGAAATGTTGTCTCTTTGGGTCGGTTCAATCATGGTTCAATCGTCACGGTGATTTGTTGAGAGTGTGAACATTAAAGTTCCTCCAAGACCCAAAATAGGTTTTACATTGTAATGTCCAAACTGTCCACGTGTTTTTCCGTCTGGTGTCAATGAGTCAACTCTCAGTGAAAAACTTCATCAATTAAATGAAAAAAAGCCTTAAATTTAATTTTAAAGACTCACGGGAAACACTGTACTGAAATTCATTCATATACTGAATAAATTTGTTGAAAACTGATAAGTGTGAGACTCTCAAGTTTCCGATCTGTGCCACAAAATTGACTGCGAGCCAAACTAATTTAAGTTTATGCCACTTATTAATCAAATTAAAAAAAATTGAGTTCCCAACTTGACTAAAGATTGATATTTAACAACGACTTTCTGAAATGCCAGTGTTAACTGAGAACGTGACGAATAATTTAGACAAAGTTTCTTTCATTGCGTTAATTAATTTCCTTGTTTGTTACTCCACTCGACGAAAACGTCACTAGTCTCTGTCTCTCACTAGCGCTCTCGTTTCATCTCTGCCCTGAAGATGGATATTCCGTCACTCATATCACAATGTCTATCACACGATTTGGGTTCAATGCGTCTGCAGATCTCACATATGGCTTTCTTCGATACTTTTCTAGTGAAACCTGGGGGAAATAAACAACAAATTAATCATTCAGTTTTTAAAACCACTTTTGTCGATAAATAATATTTCAGACGGTCCAGAGCATTATAGCACAAGGCGTGCATACACCTTCTGAATGTACGATTCACATGCCGAAAGCTGCTCCTTCTTCTAAACTTTATTCCGGCAATTCTCTGCTGCCGCACCTCAACCATTATTCTTTCCAAATTTATTCATTCCGGGGGCAGCATTCAATTTTTCTTCGAAATCTGACGATTGAAATACAATAACCTCAACCAGCAGTTTTGAAATCTCCATTTAAAAATGCACGCAACAAATTCGCAACGCTTGTTATTTCTCTTGAAAATAATTATGCATAAGCGGGACGCGTGTGCATAACTATTTATTTATTTATGTCATATCGAGTCTGATCGTGTAACTCTAGGCACGCTCACTAATTTTCCAAGAGTTGTGACATACGCCCTCTATTGGCCTTAGTAATCACCGGACATTTTTAGAAACAGTCAGCTCCGTCAGGCACGACGTCGACTGCACGATAAAACGGACGACGATACGAAGTAGTAGGGGAGTGCCGATCCCAGCGAAGAAATTGAAAACCGTCGTGTACGGTAACTTTTTAATTGTTTGCACTTGTCTTTTTTCTCTGAAATATCTTGTAAGTAAGAAACGTAGGCCTACCCACCTCTTTACATACACAAAAATTTATTTCAAATAAACCCTTAATTTGGTGAAAATTATCATTTTTATCCTAGTTCTGTATTTTTATCGACAACGACGAAACGCGTCGTCTGCTAGCACAAAGTAAGTACGGACAGTTTTAATGCACAGTTTTAGTAATAACATTAAAATCCCCTTGTTACTCTAAAGTGCCCCTCAAACGTGAATAAAACATTTCAACATTTTGGGCAAAAGCTTACTGATGCCAAATTTATTTCGTTGCAACAAAACTAACAATAGGTTTTCCCAGTCAATTGCGGCAAAGGAGCATCCAATTTAATTTTCGTTGCGTTCCAATTCACCATTTTCCACTCAAGTTTTTACTGTCCTCCAATTTGGAACTCAGGCATTCTACTTCATTTTGAATCTTTTGGATTCCTTTCAAAGAGGTCAATTTAGGATAGCGTCGTTCTTTTACGTGACGCACATTGACGGACATATATTTTTTGTTGATTTCTTTATTTTCAGTTTTGTAAAGAGGCAATCAATTTCGCCAAATAAAACATCAAACTAAAGTAAGATCTCAACGACAAAATATAACAAAACTAAACAAAACCAAAAGCATGCGGTCCGGCAAATTGGTCTACCTACAGCTGTACTAGGCAGAATGCTTTGGGCTGTTGACGCCGTTAGCCGACCCAAGATGCGTTGGGTTGACAACATCCGGATCTGGTCAGGATGCAGTATCACCGAGCTGAAAATAGCAGCACCAGAGAGACAGGCTGTGGTAGGAGCTGGGCACCTGCTACAACTGTTGTGTTTAATTTGAGGAGGATACCACTGACAAACTGTACTAATGATACAGTTATTTTCTTTATTTTCATTTCTTTTGGGGGATCTTTATTTCGTAAACTGACAAATTCCTATTTTGTTTCTGTGACTGTCTTTCTGAACAGTCTGTTTCCTGTAATGTTGGGTGTTTCTTTATGCTTTTATTTATCCTAGATCCTTCTTTTTATTTAAATTGTGTTTGTCTTCCTCAACCATCAATCCGTGGTGTACCAGAAATATCGGCATAATGCTGAAATTGGGTATGGTTTTACCACTGCACGCTCTTCAATTGAGTGATAGCTAAAAAGAGGTCTTGCTCGTTTCCCTCGAAAGCATCAATCCAACGTTCCTGATCTCTTGCGTTAGCGACCACGAGCTTTCATTTCTAAAAATAATGTGTATGTTGCAACAAACGGTTGTCTTCGAAGGACATCAGCAAAGTGTCTCCTGTGAACCGTATTTATACCATAAACATTCTAAAGAAAACATTTGAACTCTGCGTTTTTAGGTTGCACAAATTACAGAAATGCCTGCCCAATGGTGAAAACGAATGACCAAATACACGCCTCGAAAAAGCGCCTGCGAATTTGAATGCTTTTTGGTTGAATTGTTAATTTGGGTGACAATGTTGTTAAATCGAATGACGTAACAGTACTTTTGCCGTCTTAAAATGAAATCGAATGACCATTTTGCAGACGCAGGTGCATTATTTTGCACAAAATTGAATGGCACGGGGGTTAATTTGGCTGCTCCTTTGCCGATATTGATCTGAAAAACCTACATTTTTTGCCTCAAAACATAACGTTTACTATAGTCTATGTTACAGATATTCATTGTAAACGATCAGTGAACTCGCCCACACCGGATGTCGAAATGACAAATTCCACAATAGAGGGCGTTAATATGAACGGGCGTTGCATAATCTTATAAATTTGGTTCCGACGTTTTTCTGTCCCCGTTACACCTGCCATGTGTAACTAGACAAGAGAGATAAATGAAATTCATGTCGAACTATGTCTGGCTGCTACATTTGTAATTTGCATTGCTTAATCACTCCTGGAAATTAAGAAATGTTTCTAAACTTACAAAAAGTCAGATGTCACGGGGACGGGAAAAAATTGACTCCGAATTTATAGAATGACCTTGAATGAATTGAAACCTCGAATTGCCGTCATGAAGGTAAAGGTTGGCCGTGCGAGTCTCCAATGATAGATATGATCATGCTCCACAAGACACTGCTTGAATGCTTCTCGCGATCTTAATTAAAATGACACAATAGCAGCAAAAACTTGTGGATATATACATGTACATATATGTTTATAATGAATCTTCATTCATAATTATCATCCTACATTACTGAGTATCTACATGTACATTGTACATATACTTATTACTTGTATACACAGGTAATTATAAAAAGAATTAGCAGTATTTTTGAATAGGCCCCTTGCAGCTCGTATTCGATAACAGTTCCTTTAACATGGCAGGACACCATTGAAAAACAAGAGTGCAATTCCTCTATCACAGACGAATTTCTTTAGACATTTAATTATGAACTATCCAACAAAAGATAGCAAATTATATTCAGCAAAAATTTTGTTTGATCTATTGGATGATCAGGTTATACTGAGTAAAACTCATAAGAGTCACTTCTTACATGCATAAATGTATATAAGCTAATACTCAAAGCAAGCAACCTTTTACTTAAAACCAACCAAAGCTCAATATTATTAGTTGATAAACTGCAATTCTGATATCTAAAAATCTTGCAACCCAACATAGCACATTTGTTACTTTTAACACACATGCAAACAGGCTTAAAATCAATGTTTGGATTGACTTTTCTAGAAATGATTGCAAATTAATTTTTTTCAAACACCTTCATTTACTTTTTGTCTTTTCAAGTCACCCACTGCATGCATCTAAAATGTTGAGTCATATCTGATACACACAAACACAATGTTGTCTTTGTGGGATAATTTATTTCAATTTTGTTGTGTTCAACAAAATTAAAATGAATTGACAGAACTTTACGGGTAATATTTACCAGGAACGTTAGCATGATGTTAACGGAATGAATGTATTAATATATATTCACTTTTGGCTGGCCATAAAATAATTGTTTAATTTACAATGTACATGTCAGCCTGTGCAGAAGACACATACAATAAATTGTTTTTCTGTTATTTTGGTGAAGTTGTTTTAGTCACTAAATTCTTCTTGTTCTTCACTGCTCTCGCTGAAGGTAGAGTCTGAATCGTCTTGAGCAGCTGGGGGGGCAGGAGCATTGGGAGTACTACAATAAATAAATAAATAAAACAAATTCAAAATCACATCAGATTCTCACAGGATGGTCCACACATGATGAAAAATATTCTATTCAAGCCACAACCATGACTAGAAAGTCCTTGGTTATTAATAAGAAAGATATTATGAAAGATTTCTGACAAAACATTAGCACAACTCAACTATTTCTTTTTATTAATAAATTTTGCAGATAAAAAGTGTTATATTCAAACTCCCGACAAGCAACCACTTTAATTTTCAAAATGAAATAAGACCACACAAGCAGCAACCTGTCATGCAAAAGTGGAATTTATTCAATCCTACATTGGCAACTGTTAACATTATAATATCCCCTATAACTTTTTTAAGCAATGCAAAAGTTATATTTACTGTTCATGAGTTGCTTTTACATTGTTCACTCACTGACATACAGTGCTGATGCTGTCAAAACATGTCAACATCATAAAAAAAAAACATAAAAAAAAGCTAACCTGGCGTGAAACATACGTCAACATTAAATGAAAAAATGTGCCAACCTCGTGAAGAATGTATGCTGACACCTAAAAATCATCAGTCAAGGTTCATGCGAGAATTAAATGTCAATACTGTAGAAAATAAATGCTTGAACCAGCTGAGAATATGTCAACATTTTCAAAAAATATTTCTAAAAACCTGTGTGAAAGGTGCATGTCAACATTTAAAAATAAAGGTGCCAATTCTCCAAAAATGTATCAAGATTAACATGAAAGTACACCAAAGTTGTCCAAAATGGGCCAACTAAGTGACAAAATTTCAACTTTAGTAATGAAGACATATGTTCCAACCCAGTGGAAAATGCATGTACGTGACGACCACCAGTCCTGCTTCCGGTCCCCCATCCTCCAGCCCTAGTCCAGCCAATTTGCTGAACCCAGCATGTCCAGTACCAGCACAGCCCTGCCAAACCAAGCACGCCCACTACTAGCCCAGCCCTGCCAAACCAAGCACGCCCACTACCAGCACAGCCCTGCCAAACCAAGCATGCCCAGTACCAGCCCAGCCAGGCCAAACCCAGCACGCCCACTACTAGCCCAGCCTTGCAATGTGGGAAGACATAATCCACCAAGCTAATGCTTTTTGTTGGCAGGGTTGGCATGTACTTTTCACATGAATCGTGGCAAATGTTGATGTAGGGATCTGGGGTTTCCTCGGTGAGAAAATTACTTTTGATGCGAATATGAACTCTGACCTGCCGGTCTCTGACACAAGATCAATGCGTGAGTATGAGCGTCCCTTGCCGTGTGCAGACTTAAATTATCTCTAAGCAACGCCCTTCGGCCGGAAGTTGCTTACATTGTATTACATTTTAGCGGGACCGGAGAAGTTTCTTGGCATTTCTCAGTGACAGTTCCCATGCTTGAGACCTGCACCTTGGTGGGCTGGCAGTCACAGCAACATGGCTCCTTGTGGGATAACTTAAGCTCCTTTTTTTGGGCAGACTTTTAGACATAGTTAAATGTTTTCACATACTTTATACCAGGTTGGGGCATAATTTTCACTGGGTTGCCATATCAGATACGATGATGACATGTTTTAACCGCTTTGGTGCATGCTTTCAAATATGTTGCCTTTCTTTACAGTCGAAGAATACATGTTTCTCTTGCACAATAATAAAAATGTCATGTATAAAATGGTGACAGTTGCAATGAAGAATTAAATAACACTTTGGTGTGCCATAACCCCTACTGCAAAAAGCAAACTTAATTACTGTCAAGTTATTTTCCTTAGTGGTACTTGATTAAAACCCTAATAATAAAGCCAAAGTTAACACTTAAATCACACCATTATTAACAGGGCCCAATTTTATGGCACTGCTTACCGCAAGTGAAAAATCAGCACTTCCCGTAGCAGAAAATTCTGTGTTTACCGCGAATGGATTTCACAGGTTAGCGAGGAAGTTTGGCTTGTGTGCATGCATATATTCCGTAGAATTTTTCTGCTTGCGTGGTTAGTGCAGAATGGAGATCATAAGCCCAGAATTCTGCTGCAAGCAGTGCCATGAAATTGATAGAATGCAACATTATATACAGCACAGCTTTTCTTTAAGAGCAAAACAAAAGTGAACTTTGTGAGTTACTTACTCAAGCAAGTCAGGATTTAGTCCCTCTAGTGTAAGTTTCTGTCTCAGCGCACCCACAGGTACTCCCTAAGCAAACACCAAAAAAAGAATCCAGGATAAAAAAATTCTAAATTTTTTCACACAAATTACAACACAGCAAATGATATTTTCCATGAAACGTTTCGGTCCATCTCACAGCTAGGAGGGGTGGATCCTGCCCCACCAAAAACTCGGCAGTCCCAAACTAGATCTTTATCTAAGCTTGGCATGCAAGAAAACACAGTCATTATCAGTATACATGTGAATTTTTAACTTGATCTGACTGATGGTTTAACTGTTATGGCCATTCAAAGTTCAAGGCCACATGCTCTGTTCAGCATGCATAGAGCACATCAATGCAAAAAAGTAAAGAATATGTATATTTGTGGCTGAGCTGTCTCAGAAAAATGGGCACTGTGTAAGAACCGTATGGCTGATTTTCACAAAACTGGAGTCAAAATAACAGGAATATATTCCTGGAGAAATTCTTAGACTTGCCAGGTTACAAAAAATGCACTGCTACTATACTCGAAAAAATTTTGAGGGGAATTCCACCATCCTCTGGTATTGCTCAACAAATTTGAAATGAAAAATAGTGATGTATGTTACGGCACTATCTCATTTTACAAACCTTAAATATAAGTCAGTGTGACATTTGCTTAACCACTTCATGCCGGGGCATTTTTCAATGTTGATTATGCTAGGCCGGCATGAGTATCATTTTTTCCGTTTTCAAAATCCTTCAAAAATTCATCGTTTCATTTAACGGTCGTTTATAGCCGCACCAAGTAATCTTTAGGCACTACTCTAAGTTGATAGGTGGCCTTCATTGA